CACAGACACATATTTGATCCACTATGAGTTTTAGTTTTCTCTTAAATCTAGTTTCATATAACCTGTTCATATGAATCTAAATCTGTTCTGGGGCTTCTCCTAAACTTTCAGAGGAGACCTGGAGATAGTGAGGGAAAAACACAGGGCGAAGAGAGGGGAAAGGAGTCATTCTATGTGAACAATTATTTAGTTGGAGACTCTATTTTTTTACTTGACCTTATCCAGATGTCTCAGGAGTATAGTTTCACTCACAGAATGGTCCTGCTAACTAAAGTGGTGGTGGTGGGCCATTTCACTCAAGCTCCTCTTCCCCCAGAAGTCTGATTTCCGAACTCCTAAATATCTGCTCCAGATAGAAGGAGAGGGATGGAAAGTCCCACTGCACAAGTGGACAGACATGAACTGATGGGACTTGTTAGACCAGGGTACCCCTAACTTGGGTCTCCCGCTGTTGTTGGACTACAACTCCCATTATCCCTGATCATCCTCCTAGCTAGGGATGATGGGAGTTTAGTCCAACAACAGCTGGAGACCTAAGTTATCCTTAGCTAGGAGGATGATCAAGGATGATGGGAACTGTAGTCCAAAAACATCTGGAGACCCAAGTTTGGGAAACCCTGTGTTAGACCCGGACTCTCCCCACTCAGGCTGGGCTTTGTACATGGTCTTCTTGAGATCCAGCACCCTTGGTTATTCTTTAGTTCTGGTGTCAGTTTGTTCTTCATTCCTGCCTCCTGTTTTTCTCCTTTGGTTCTAACTGATTTTAACTAATCCTAACTGCAGGCTTGTCTCACAGCTCCTGGTTCCTGGCTTACCTAAGACTGGTGCTCAGTGCTTTTCTTCTAGAAGAAAAGGGTGCCAGTACTGAATACCCTTGAGTATGCCCAGAAAAAAAGCACTGCTGGTACCCACAACCTGCCCACCACAGATTCTGATGCTGTGATGATAAGGCAGCAACACCAGTTCCAACCTTGCCTCAATAAAGCAACCAAATCATGTAGTCTTTTATATGAGCCAGAGAGTTAAATGAATAACTTATGTAAGAAGAGGTTCTTCATTCAATTCAGTGTTTGGAAATGTTTTGTTCACACACACACTCATTTCACACGTGCTCTGTGTATGCATCAGAGCACTTCCATACATAGGAGAGGCCATATTATGTTGTAAGCCGCCCAGGGTGGCTGGGGAAACCCAGCAAGATGGGAGGGATATAATTTAAAACAGTATTACAGTGGTACCTCAGTTCTAGTATGTCTCTGTTGACAAATGTTTTGGAACCCGAACATCAAAAACCCGGAAGTAAATGCTTCTGTTTTTGAACGCACCTCAGAAGTTGAATGGCTTCTGCTGCATGTTTTTCAGTTTTCTGTGTTTTTTTCAGTTTTCTGCAAACTGAATTTGCAGACAGCCCTTTGCACCTTGATTTTTGAACGTTTCGGAACTTGAAGGGCCTCCGGAATGGACTATATTCAAGAACCGAGGTACAACTGTATTTATTGTTGTTGTTGTTGTTGTTGTTGTTATATTTGTACTTAATAATTATGCTTTGCGAACTTCTTGCAATCAGTACTGCAGACCAGCACATTCTCATTTTCTCCTTACCTGGCGGTCTTAGGTGCCTTTCATGAGTAGTTCCGTTCCCATTGCATTTCCTTCCATTGTGCTCAGTCTTAATCATATTTTCAAATCTGATCCGAAGTATTTGTACAAGAGTGTTAATACCGGCTGCAACTGTATAAGTATTTCATTGTGACTGGCATGCCTAAAGACCCAGTTAGCAAACATGACTCAGATATTATAATGCTATTATACGATAGTAGATGGGAAATGCTAATATGATTTTGATGTATTGTGCTATGTAATTGCCTAGGTTAAATTTCTGGATTGAAGGATACTAATGACATATTGTTGGAGATTATTCATACAGTTTTATTGCTTCCTCAGGAAAAGTTTCATGTAAGACCTTTGTTCTCTTATGAATAAACTATTCTTGTTTTAAGCACTCTATGATTCTTTTGTACGAAGAGCAGCCAGACAGGCAGTCAGCAAAAAGCCTGCCAGTAATTTCTTTCTCCTATGAATAGCTGGCTGCTGTTGCTATTTTTTCTTTTTTAAAAAAAATAACCCTCAAATAAAATGTTTCTACCTTGAAAACAATAAAGAACAATTCCCCCCCCCCCCCCGAAGGCCATCCATATATTAAGTTGCTTTGGGGAGATTGAATATTGGGTGTGTGATCTGAGTACTATGTTTTATTGATTTATTTCTATTTAAAAGATTTGCAGCCCACCTTTCAATAGGGCTGGGTGCAAGGTAAGATGAACTAGTTTTAAAAGTATGATGAAAACAAACATTCCCCACTCGCACCCACCCCAAAAAACACAGGCAAACAAGGACAACTGGAAAGAGCTGAATAAAAGGAACGGTTAAAAGAGTCAGTTAAACATAAGCTTTCCTTGCTGCCTGCTATAAGGAAGGAAATAGAATAGGGAAATGCTTCTGCGTTTATGGAGTACAGTCTTCTACAAGAATTGGGTAGGAAAAGCCTACTTATACATGGCTTTAAACTATGTCTTATGTTCCTGTGTGTATCACTTTAGCTCCTATCTTTAGTCTGCGCATATGTGACTATGGCTTTAAGTCGTATCCTAAATCCTTGTGTGTGTGTGCAGCTTTAAGTCATGTCCTAAATCTTTATGAGGAATTGACAGATTTTTTCCCCCCTCAGAAGGATAAAGGCCAAGGCTCTCTGGTGACATTCATTTAAAACTGTATTGGTTTGCCCAATTTGTGATTGCGGGGTAGGGGTATTTAGAGCATTTGTTTACCCTGCTTTTCAGCTGAAAAGGCTCTCAAGAATGGCTTAAGAATCTTCTTACTGAATGAAAGGCAAACAGAATGATGGCACTTTGTCTTGTTTCTTTCTCATTTTTCCTCCTCCTCCTCTTTCTCCCTGTGCAGAATGATCATTTGAAACTCAGAACAGCGCAAGAATGATAAATGGAATAATAAGCATATTTGAGATAGAGAGGTGTACTTATCATTTATCTATGCCAGGGAATGCTTGAAGCATGGATCTAATACTGAACAAAGGCTTTCTTCACTCCCCTTCTCCTTTTCATTCCTTGTGTAATGTTGGATTGATATATGGGCCACTATATCCAAGAAGAGGAGAATTGTGAAAGAGGGTGGTACTTAAAATGAATCTGAAATCTTTCATAAAAATCATAATTATGTTTGTATTTGTATTTATACCCTGCTATTCAACAAGATCCCAAGGTCACTTGGGAACAAAGTTAAAACCATAATAAAACTGATTAAATCAAGAATATTAAAACAAGAACATTGAACCACCCCAATATAAAAGCAATGAGCAGATTTATTTATTTTTACACACAAAAAATTATGCAACATGAAAGCCAATGTAACAAGCAGTAAAAAGTGAGGGGGGGGGGGAACGTATTTGCCTTGTGATACAATGACATTAAGGGAGGGCAAGTTTCCCTGGAAACAGTGTTCCCTGGTCAAGGTGCCACCACTGAGGAGGCACTTTATATTGTAGTCACCACCTGCCACACTTCAGAGGGTGGGAGTAGCTGAAGAAGAGGCTATGTTGAACATGTGGAGGCATGTCCAGTCCAGTATCCAGTCCTAATCATCAACTTAAACATCACTCGGCAGCGAACCCAGAAACAAAGTAGGGACTCAGGCAACTTTGAACTGAGCCTGGAAATAAGCGCAGTGGTGACCAGAGGCACCTTGCGATCCTAAGGCCCAGTTATGGCAATAGAATGCCCAGGGGAGTCAAAGGTGCCCCTTTGAGTGACATTTCAAGATCTCTCGGAAAGGTTGTCTTTCAAGGAACTTTGACCTGAAAGGAAGGTATTGCTGTTTCCATAAATGGAGAATGTGCAAGGTTTTTTTGTGTTTTTTTTAGCCCAGGTATGTTGCTGTTGTTGTTGTTGTTATACCCACCCATCTAACTGGGTTTCCCCAGCCACTGTAGGCAGCTCCCAACAGAATATTAAAAACACAATAAAACATCAATTCTTAAAAACTTCCCTAAACAGGGCTGCCTTCAGATAATAATAATAATAATAATAACAATAATAATAATAATAATTTTTATCTATACCCAGCCCATCTGACTGGGTTTCCCCAGCCACTCTGGGAGGCTTCCAACAGAATATTTAAAACATGATAAAAGATCAAACATTAAAAACTTCCCTAAACAGGACTGCCTTCAGATGTCTTCTAAAAGTCAGATAGTTGCTTATTTCCTTGACATCTGATGGGAGGGCATTCCACAGGGCGGGCGCCACTACTGAGAATGCCGTCTGCCTGGTTCCCTGTAACTTCGCTTCTCGCAGTGAGGCCCTCGGTGCTGGACCTCAGTGTCTGGGCTGAATGATGGGGGTGGAGACGCTCCTTCAGGTATACTGGACCGAAGCCATTTAGGGCTTTAAAGGTCAGCACCAACACTTTGAATTGTGCTTGGAAATGTAAAGGTAAAGGTAAAGGGACCCGTGACCATCAGGTCCAGTCGCGGACGACTCTGGGGTTGCGGCGCTTATCTCGCTTTACTAGCTGAGGGAGCCGACATACAGTTTCCGGGTCATGTGGCCAGCATGACTAAGCCGCTTCTGGAGAACGAGAGCAGCGCACAGAAACGCCGTTTACCTTCCCGTACTGGGCAATAAAACATCACTGGGCAAGCCTCCTTATCTGGCCTTAAGCCCATCAGCAATAAATCAGCATTACCAGTAATATTCAGCAGAAGTTGTAAGAGCACAAGACCAGCAATAAAACCTACTGGGGCTGGGCAAATAATTAAGTGTTCACCTGGGTCTGAAAATGCATCAAGCTTCTCCAGGGAGGGCATTCCTTTAGAGAGGATGACCCATTTTGCTCAAATATATTCACTCAGATCATAGAATTGTGGAGTTGGAAGGGACCACAAAGTTCATCTAGCCCAACCCCCTGTAATGAAGGAATCTTTTTGCACAATGTGGGGCTTGAACCCACAGCGCTGAGTTTAAGAGTCTCATGCTCTACTAAGCTATTAGTGATAAATAATGATTTAGTAGTAGTTGTAGCAGCAGCAGAAACAACAAACTTCAGTCTAACAATAATCTAACCTTGGTGCCTACTGTTACCCCCAACAGTAATCTTTGCATGTTGCTTTTCCTGCAGGGAAAGTGTGCTCAATACCATGAATAGGCTATATCAGGTGACTTTGGCTGGATTTGAAAACTAGTTGTTTAGGGACTTATCAGCTTTGCATATTCCAGGGCTAATTAATACTCACAACTAACAGCTCTGACAAGCCTGTTCAAATAATTAAGATGGTATTGCTTTCTACCTGTTTACGTTAGTAGTGAATAAATTTGCAGCAAAAGTAAAATAAACAAAAATCGTCTTTGAAAAGGCTGGTCATTAGTTCTGCACTGACTTTCATGGGGTTTTATTTTCAATGCAAAAAAAAAGGCCTCTGGGAAAGGGAAAATGTTTGCAAAAACCAACCAGACCCTTACTTCCCTAACATTTATTGATGTGAGGCTCTCAAATATAAAAATAGAGATGCGGTAATCTGTCTCTTTCTGTCCCTGTCACTCTTGCATGCTTTTATTCATGATTCCATTCCATTTCTGCATTAATCTGCATGGGTGTTTTTTTAATCCTCTCAAAAGACTATTTAAATGTGTTATTTTCTATAAAAATCCAAACGTTACAATGTTATTTTCTCTCAAAATACATATTTAAACATGTATTTTGATACATTAACTAACAAAGCTGACTTCTCAATATTTGGAGAAGTGAAAAATGGGTGGCCATGTTTTGATGATCATATCAGCCTTAGAGGCAACATCAGGCCAATTTATAAAGAAATTTGTGAAAAAAGAATTCCTATACAGTATAATAACAACCATTAGAAGATTATCAATTATCATTCACTCTGCAGTTTTGTACTCAGAGGGGTTAGTAAATGATAGGCTTCCTGAACACACTTCCAGCATAACATATCAGAATAAAGACTGCTTGCTGGTCATTGCACCTGGTTTTAAGAAATGCTAGTCATGCAATTCTCAAAAATATGCAGAGTGTATTTTTGAGGCTTAAGGTTTCCCTTTCTTTGATTGGTTTGTGATGCGCAAATGTAAAAACCAAAGTGGGGCTGAAAGGCCGTCACTTCACAATCCTCTTCTCTTGCTGCAAAAGTGGGGAAGGACTTTCTGTCAGTTTCAAGGGTATAACTGCAAAAGAAAAGATTCAGGATAGCAGAGGCATCATGCTGCCTTTTAATTTTCCATCTCTTAGAGCTTTTGTTTTTGCTGCTTTATTGGAGCTCTTATTGTGCTCCAGGGCCACCCCTTTCTCCCACCATAATGTCTCTGTGGAAGGCCATGATTTTTGTGCTTTTATATTGTAAACCACCCTGTGAACTTCAGATGAAGAGCAGTATAGAAATTTAATAAATGATACTAGTAATACTACTAATAAATACTAATAATAATAACTGCCAACCTAGCAGTTCGAAAGCACGTCAAAGTGCAAGTAGATAAATAGGTACCGCTCCAGCGGGAAGGTAAACGGCGTTTCTGTGCGCTGCTCTGGTTTGCCAGAAGCGGCTTAGTCCTGCTGGTCACATGACCCGGAAGCTGTACGCCGGCTCCCTCGGCCAGTAAAGCGAGATGAGCGCCACAACCCCAGAGTCGGTCACGACTGGACCTAATGGTCAGGGGTCCCTTTACCTTTACTAATAATAATGTGATACGATGAACTAGTGCCCTTCCAATGAGGCATTGCTAGGCGAGCTCTTATATGTGTTTGGGTAGAGGCAAACTAGCAGAACCTGTTCACCTCTTGTAGCATTCAGTACAGGCTGGTAAGGGGGCTTAATAACTCAATTGGCAGGCACCCTAAGGCATTACAGGTTTAAAGGCAGTTGTGTCATCTTCCACAGCCTATGATGAACAAGTGACAGGAGCCTGGGTGCACATGTTTGGTTCACATACCCAAGGTTCGTTTCGCAGGGAAGGAGAATTTTCTCCCAATCCCTGTCTGGGGAGTCATGGAATGGGGCTATTTATAGTGGACGATGTTTCCCTCATATGTTCCAATTCAAACCCACCTGCCCATACTTACAAAATTTGGTTCTTGTCTGGTTAGTCTATTACCCCTTTTGAATAAAAATGACCTTTCCACCATTACTCTGTCTCTCAAGCTTTTTCCATCATGTGTTGGCAATGTTCATTTGTATTTTCCTCTCTTCTGAATTATACAGTTATCACACCTTTGTATAAATGGCCCAGGTGATGCTCAGAGGTAAATTTATGTCTTATGAGGGCAGCCGCTACAGTCTATCGAACCTGGGCAACAAAAATGGCCCAAATTCTCAAATCTAACCTAAAAGGGAGGCACAGAGGTTTTTCAGACTATTCCATTTCTTGCAACATTGCATGTTTCAGAAACTATTAGTCTCCCATCAGTTATGGTATATGGAATTCTGAAAGCAAAACCCTTATTGTAATAACCTTCACTGTCAGTGCAATCCAGAAATTGCTTAATCCCATAGATTTGCACTCAATTTAAGTAGTTTGTGAGTTGCAGCCTCAGTGATCCTAGAAGCTGAAACTAGAAGTTCTGGAATAAAACCATCCAGGTGTGAACAAGATAGCCTACAGATAAAACAGCCTTTAATACATTTCAAAGGAAATCCAATAAGATTACATTCAGAAGTTAATGAAAATGCTTCATCCATTTACATTACAATATCCAGTATTCATTTCTATATCTGTTTTAATCCTTCAGGCAAATAACTTCTCCCAAACTCATTCACACCTTATTTTCTTTCAGTGGCGGAGTGGTGAATTGTATAAAAAAGCATGAAACCTGCAAGCGCAATACTCTTTTCAGAAATGATCTTTATTCAACAAGAGTAAAAAAAAACCCCCACAAAAAACATTTCAAATGAAATAATCCTGATTGCGTTCCACCAATGTCACATTATAGCCTTTTCCATTAAAGACTGGAAAAGCACTCCTGGAAAATTAAATTAAAAATGAAATTAAACAATGATGAATACTCTCCCCAAACAGTATTAGAATATGTGCCAATGGATTCATTACACACAATATACAAAGCCTAGATTGAAGGGGATTTAGAAGACGTTGCATAAGGATGTTGGAAGGCTTAGGCAGAATATTACGCATTTGACAGTCTCCTGATATTCCTTCAAATTACAAAACAGGTATATTCAAGGAGAAATTCTTTGACTGAGCTGCGCACACTGTATTCCAGGAGTCCTGCAATTTAGCAGAACTTCCCCCTTCTTTGTCCCAGGGACAAAAGGATGAGACTCCTAAACAATTTGTACCCTGGAACCTCATTCAAGTTGCCTGAAACTTTGCTCAGTCATCCATCACCCATATTGCTGGAAATCCTATCCATGCTGCAGGCCTGCCCCATTCTTGCTCCTCCATGTTTGAGCAGGGGCAGGTTTGCTCATCTTCCTCAAAGGAGTAAAGTAATGCAATATATGAGCACACTGGAGCATTGACATGGGGTAATGTGAAGCCAGCCTAGGGTTTCTTTGCTAGTGTGGCACCTCGCCCCCTCAGCCTTTCATAGCTGCATGGGTCTCACCAGTCACTGTAGATGGGAACTGTATGGGCAATCTATTAGGAAGATATTTGTATTTCAAGGAATTAGTGACCTAACATGGTTATCCTTCCCGCCCCCTGTTCCTTCCTTTTGCCTATCTCTTGTCAAGCTCTTTGATGGATGAAAACAGCCTTTAATGTCCGAATCTGTTGGAAGGAAGCAACAGTGAGGAATACCTTCTTTGATGCTGGACATTGTTTGGAGAAAGTGAGAGATTGGGAGAGGGTAGCGAATGAATAATTTGCACTAGCCAGTAATGTATGACTGCACGTAGCTAGTCAGGCAAGCCACACAGGTTAGCTATCTATAAATCGGATGTTTGTGGGCAGAGCGTTAGAGAGAAGCTCGTGCATGGACTGATGTCCACGGGCCGTGCAAACTTAGGCTATGGGGGGGTCACTTCGCCACTTCTTGAGGGCTTCCAAGTGGCAGATTGAGGTGCCACTTCGCTTGGTATGTTTATATTGCTTGCTGTTTAGAATAAAATCTTTAATCTTCTCACTCACTTGTGTTTTGTATTACTTCTGAATCTCATTTTAAAAGAATCACCTTGCTTTTGGCAAGACAGGCGCCAAGGAGGAATTTTGGGGCTGTTCTTCTATTGGTCTGGAGAACAAGTTATTTACTTATTCTATACTATGAAATAGTTGGGAATGGGAGGAACCTTGATTTGGTTCTGTCACCCCCAAAACAGAATAAGTTGGGTAAGGGCTGTTAGAATTCCTGCTCCATGATTGCAGTGATGGGATTGCTGTCTTTCACATGACAGTATATGTTTTGACTTCACAGAGTGGGAAGTGACAGAGACAGGATGTTTGCGCTACTGTGTTCTGTGAAGTGGGACTGTTGTCCTTTGTCTTTTTCTCTTTGCTGTTGGATGCTATAGAGAGAAGGAGCCATGTTGCAGTGCTCCGTGTGAGTTTATATGTAAATAAAGTAGATTAGCCAAAATGCTGAGTTGCTGAGGTCTGTTACACAAGCTGCGAAGACTCTGCAGATCCCTAAGTGAGCCGATGTCTGTTGGTATCGGTTGCTGTGATGTTTGGGCTGAAGAAAGCTTTTGAAGCTCCCCAACAATCGACCAGGAGGGAGAGAACATGCCAGTCGGGCATGTGTCTCTGCCAGGGTCCTACTTGAGTGTAGGACGAGCTCCTGATAGGGGCTTGTCCCATTAGGTAAGCAGAAATGTTTGCACTTACAGAATGATTGTCATAGTGTTACAGTGAATTCCTCCCTGTGTCTACTCTACTATGTATGTGTGTGTGTATTCATATGCTGTTAAATACCCACAGCTTCTATTCCTATTGACTTCTGCCTGGAATGAACATGAACAGGGTATATAGTATAAAGCAATACAATATAAAACGAGTACTGATCATTCTTCTTCTTCTTCTTCACTTGCAGT